CCTCTTGAGGAAACCTTGAGGAAAAATTACTCCGTTCGCTACCGTCTAGGAAATCCAGAAAAGAAATACAACAAAAGTTTTGAACTATTTCAAAGCGTCCGCTTTTTCTAAACGGTGACTCTGACAGACGCACGCAGTGTAAACAGACTTTTCTAGACGAAATTACACGCAAAGTAAACTGACGGATTTCCCCAACATGACGGTTAGGTTTGCTTACGCGCAAAACTGCAGTAAAACTGAGGTTGTTGAAATTCGAAGGAAAATTCAGAAAAAAATTATTCGAGCTTCAGCGTACTTTACTCCAAACAAAATATGAAGTTCCGCAGATCTATTCATAAGCGATTCACGTCGAACTGGTCCAACATCAACAATAAACGAAATATCATATTTGAACCGCTGAATAACGCAATCTGGACAGCGCAGAGTGGCCTCGGTGAAAACGACAAGTAGAAAGTGACGCTATTCTTTAAGGGGTACACGTACGATCAAATAAATCAGAGATGAGACGCAACAGCTTAGCTCATATGACCAATTGATTCGGTCGTTGCCCTTTACCCGGCGAGCTACACACACACATCCGGGAACCCGTCGACCAAGAAACCAGTATGCACCATGGATGAGCAAGTTAGAAGCAGACCTGCTTTACGACAAGTGATGCTGTAATAGTGGATTTATAGCAAGCATGGATTAAAGGCTTGAAATTCAGCTGCTAATACGGCTCAAAAAATGACCAGGGCAAAATGAGTATTGCAGGTCTAAATGCTTAAGCGAAGTGCTCTTTCATGTCATTCACTGTTATGCCGGATTCTGTAACGCGAAACAGCACCATTGCTCTGGAAAGTAAATCTCAATATTCTAGACGAGAGAGGGGCGAGAGGCTTTACTCGCTATTCACTCATTAGCCATCAAGTCTACAAGAGGACGCCACGATTTCTGACTCCTTCGAAAAGAATATAAGTAAGCTTCGATCCGGGCAAAGTCAGCGAAAACAAACGAATGTACAACTGTAAGCGGGGACAAGTGTCGATGCATCGGCAGGTGAAGCGACGTGAACGACAACAAAGCTAAACCTTCCGTCTACCTCGTTCCAAAAGGAGGCATAGTTAGCGATCGCGGACAACATTCAACATAACAACAAACGACAAACTACTCTCCAAAATACCCATCTCACTCTCACTTACAATCACGCGACCACAGATTGACCATTGTCATTTCTAGCTGACTGAAAGACAGACGGATGGACACCCAGACAGACGGGCTGATTGTCGATGATGGCGACGGCGATGGAGGTGGTGATGATGATGAAGTTTCGGCCAAATTGCCGCATTTCCTGCTAAAAGCTAATAGTTTATAAGGAAGACGCATCTTCTTGTCGAACTGTATCGAAAACAACGCCGGGAGCTGCACAACATTCCACGTAGGTTGAACAAACGCGTGTCTTCTCTTCACTGCAGTCGACCCCATGTCAGTTCTAACGGCATCTTCCCGTCTTGTTGGAGATGTTCCTGGAAGCCGCCTGCCACCAGGACTTAATTTCAGTACCCGCATCGCGTGGCGCCTATTGTCCATTCGTTGGCAATAGCCCCTCGATCTTAACCGCCCTGTTTGCGAGCCAGTTTGCCACTTTAGTTGAACGTTCAAATCTTTCTTTCGCAACAGCACTTCACACCAGTTCCTGCCACTTTACTCTTATTACTGATCTTAAAATCTTCATTTCAGTCGCTTGCACTTTTACCTGCTTTCGGCTTTGCTGAACGCTGCCACCTCCAGACCGTAGAGAAGGATGTTCAGATTACAAGCCGTGCCCTGTATATCCGCAGCTTGGTGCCCTTGCCAACCTCACTGTCCATCCAGAGCTTGAATCGTTTCTTGCTCGCCACCGATGCCAACGCGACAACGCCTCGTGACATGATTTGCCGCCCATCCGAACGTAGGCACGTGCTCCCAAGGTACAGATATCCCGCTACGTTTTCCACAGCTTCGGTTTCACGCGGCAGGTAGTCTTTGATCTGGATTCTATCACTTTTCATCCATTTCGTCCTCTTTAAGTCAATATAGAGACCCGCAATAGAACAAGCCTGTTTTACAGTAAGGAAGATTGATACAGTATGTGCGAAGCTGTTTGCAAGCAATGAGACATTTCATCCGCATATACAAGAGAGTTTGCGCAGATGTTGTCCACCCTCGCCCCGTAACTTCACTCCTTTGTATTGGCTGAAGCACTCAGTCAAGAAACGTGGCCAACAGCAGTACAGATTCTACTCTTCCTTGTCTTATTCCAAGACTTGTAGCGGTGAATTTGCCGAATCTGGCATTAATTCATAATGCACTTGACGAAAGACATTGCTTTTTTTAGCTATTCAAGAAATCTTTGGTGGGATTCCGTTTTTTTTCACAAACTTTCTACAAGGCATCTCTCCACAATGAGTCAAAAGCAAGGGTAAAATTAACGAAGAGTGCAAAGAATTTCGATCACCATTTTCTCCTCTCTTTATTAGCTGTCTTTTTATGAACATCTGGTTCAAACAAACTCCTTGTCCTGAATTAAGACTGCTCTTCACTCAAGATGTTCTCAATATGATGTTCAATCCTGTTCATCGTAACAACCATGAATACTTTAGCAGGAACGGACATAAGGCTAATTTCACGGGAGTTATTTGGATCCGAGTAACAGCCTTTCTTGAACACTTGGACCACAGTATCTTTCACAAAGTCATTCGACGTCCTTTCTTTCTGTCATATCAATCTAATGATATTCATGAATGCCAACATTCTGTTCAGTCCAGACTCAAATAGTTCTGGCTGTGTTCCATCAATTCCTACAACTCTGTTTTTTTTTCAGTTGGCCTAACGCTTCAGCCATCTTCTTCAGGAGTTGGCGGTCCAGCATCAGCATATCTCCTTCGTCAGGAATATACTTCATACCTGGAATCTTGTTTCCCCAGAAAAACAAATGGGGTTCACAGATTCATAATTCACCATTTACAATTCATAACGTACTTTTAGCTTTTTCGCTGTTCTCTAGGTTGATATTGCCCTGGATATTCAGCAATTTTATAAAGTCGTTCAAAACCTCAATCTCATCAATAATATACAGACCGTTTCCACGCAAAAAAAGCAGTTAAATAACTGAAACAAATGATCTGGGAAACTTGTTTCATGTCTCTATCTTCTTTCTCAATAAGCTGCCAGTTCGATAGTTCTAGGCACAAGACAGATAGTAAATTCTGTACTGATGCTGCCAGCGCTTCAGCCTGTCTGAAATCTAGACAGTTTGAATACAGAATTCAATTATTTATTTCCTACTTTGTTTCTAGAATCACTGAAGCAGCAAGTCATATGTGAAGCAATTTAATTAAAAATAAATGCAGATCGAAAACCAAATGTCATTAGCTTTACGAATTTCACCATTCATATGAACTTGCTGAAACCTAGAAGAAGATCATCAAAGAATAGGCGCCGAACCTTTGTAGGTTTTATTGTATTGTAGTCGGCCCACTGAATCATCCGTTGCCCTAAATCTGTTCCTCGTTCGCAGACGTCCATTTAAACGTCAAAAAGTTTCGTAAGTCTTGCTAATCAATCTTCACGGGTTCAAGACGCCCAAACTGCGCAATGAGGCGCACTGCATCTGCTCACCAGATAAGGTCTATATAACTATATCACCTTCTGAGGTGTTTCCGGTCGCGAGTGGATTTGCACAGCACCGTGGAAAACTCAACGAACAGAAGAACCAGCTCCGTGTTTGCCCAAATTCTCAAAAACACTAAGTTTCCACCTCTAGTAGCATCAGCCGCTGCGGAGGTAGCAGTCTATGCGGATAAATCACTGAAAGCCGTACCAAGCGACGGAATTGCATAAGACTGCCAATGAAATGGAACGAGGTTCCGATGCTGCGACGCGTTCACTCTTCCGGTGTTGTGTTTGAAATCCTCAGCGGCTGAGAGCAAGCGAAACTCTTCCTTTTAGATAAACAGCTTTAGAACAAGAACGATTCTATGCGGTGTGACCGACAGCAGACTACCACGTGTTCCGCCTTGAAACCTGGGCTCAACAGGGAACAGCGACTGCTGAACTTACTTTCGGCATATAATCGCCGTTTCGCGAACGGTGGCTACCGAATCGTGCTGAACACGTAGCCTCAAAGTCATGATGATTGTTCGAGGTAAGAGGTAAACTTTGAACTTCGGGGGTGCCGGGTTCCAACACAAAAACAGTTCCTCTACAGTCAGTTCAACTGAGCAAGTAATTCAGTCCAAGCCTTTTCGCAATGTGTGCGCGTTAATAAGTATTCTGTGGTGCGAGCACTCATCTCCCTCGAGCCGTACACACGAGTGGGCGAGTTCCGACTCGGTGACGCTATGTACGCGGCCTGTGCACCGCAGGTGCTTAAATAACACGGAATCGTGGCCTGTCTAAATGTCCGGCAACAGGGGGCGGGACAGTGTCGCGCTGTAACCCATTACCCGGTGCCATGACATACAACCGTCTCGTACTGCCAGAGAATCAGTGTAAAGTAGGAGCTGAAGTGTTTTACGGGTAACCAACCGAAAGGCGCCCAAAACAAGTCGCTGACTGCGAGCGGTATTAACAACACGGTGTTCTGTTGTGATCATTTCAGCGTGCACGAAACGTGTGGTCATGCTTTCTGAAGAGAGCGCCCCGAAAAGCTACAATTCGCTTTAACCCCCCTGATGACTGGCTATCCAATGTCATAACGTGGCACAGGCGAGGTACTTCGTCCATGTGATCAGTGCTCTTCGCCTACCGCCGCTGGATGCCGTCTTCAAGACGAAGTCCAGTCAAGTGGTCAGGCAGGAGAGCTGCGAATCGATCGCTTACGTCAAGAACGTAACGCAATTTCATTTCGACTCAAATCGCAAAGTTTTATGCTGACGTGGCCCGTCTGATAGTTATACAAGCCTTAATCCCCGTTTATTCGCGCATCAATCAAATGGAATATAAAATCGGCACACCTACGTAATGCAGAGGTACAATTAATGAGCATGAATAATT